TCACAGTATGGTTTCCGCATCTGAGCTAGATTTCCCGTCTCTCTCTATGGAGTAAATTTCTTATTCACCTGGGTATGAAGAACCCTAGATTTGTATGTTAGGTCTGATTGTATGAACCCAAGTACAGATTCAGTGGTATGATTATGTTCAATTGAGGTTTGATTTGTTGAATGGCATGAATCCTGATCAAATTCCTGTTGTTTCTGCTTTAACCTAGAAAGAGAATATCTGCCTAGGTTGATAGAGCACCCTTGATTGAAGGTAGTGAATTGGAAACTTTAGTCGAGGAGTCAATTCACTATTATGTACCGAATTTACTTTGGTAGTGGAGGTTTGGTTCGTTAGGGCCTCAATCTGTTTACTCCGGTGTAGGTTAGTCGCCCTCTGGGGACTCAGATTGAGAGGGTCTGGAGACCTTTAGTCGAGACTGCAGTGTGTTTAAGAACCTCCCACAGTATAACTATCATTGAACTTGAACTTGGTAAATTACAATCCGGCTTAACTGCAGTCTAGGGGGAACCATATCCGGGTGACCTCTCTCGACTTGAAAATAACCTTTTTACTTGCTTTGCTTGTTTGCTTGTTTGGACCTTCACTAAAGTTTCACCGCTATATAACAAGAACTCACGGAGTAGTCATCACACTTAGGACCCGGGTTGACATTAAAACCCAAACCCGCTATACTACGCTTTAGGAGGTGGTTACACTTGGCCATTTTCTAGAGTGACGGTAGAGCGAGTCACCCCCCCTTTCAATTATCCCAAGGTCTCTTTTAAACAGGCTAGGCCCAACTCTAGAAGGAAGCTACACAGACCCTTCCTTTCTGATCCACATACGATTAACCCTACCCCCATGAGGGTTTGAAAAATTTTCAGTCGTCCCTCCACTGTCCTCCCAACTCCTTTTGAGAGTGGAAGCCGAACGGTTCCTTTTATTTAATACAACATCGCCAACATAGAGTCTCGATGCATGCGTATCCTTGGACGTAGTGCCCGAAGTGATGTAGGGATACGATGCATGGCTCTTCTTCTTCCCGCCAATCTTTCCACCGTCCGGCGAAGCTTCCTCTGGAGGAACCATAACCTTCACGATGAAAGTTTATGTGCAAACAAAATTGACAACTTACTAACAACCATGAACTCTCACCCCTGCAAACTAGCTAACACTACCAATTGACTTAGAACTCTCAGTAATGGCTAACTAACCCAAATTGGACTAAAATGACACATCACACAAACTTAAGTGACTAAGCGTAAATAGACCAACATGACATAGTTTCAAATAAAAACATAAACATTCAAATCTTCTCTTTAGATGCCAACCTTCTTAAGCTCCAACACCTTGGTTCAACGTTCATCTCTAACAAATCCTCCCCTAAACTCAAGCATCCTTAAAACCCTCAGTTCAAACTCATACATTCATCACTTAATCTCTGCACCATCAACCATTCACAACCTACTTCATAGTAGCTTATATGTCTCAAGTTTGAGTGCTTTGGTCATGATGTTAGCTACCTGATCACCTGTTCCACAATGCTTAAGTTCAACCACTTCATCTCTTTAAAACTCCCTAAAAAGTGAAACTAAACATCGTTTTCCAGCCCATTCATTCAAGAGCTCTTCAAAGCCAAACACACTGAGCATCACAGTAGGAAGCTTTCCATGACTTTAGCTTCTATGGTTGATAGAGTCACCACTAGCTACTTCTTGGAAAGCCAATGAGATGGATTCTCCTAAAATAAAGAAGACATAACTATTATTACTTTTTATGTCATAAATTTCTCCTTCACAATCAACATATATGTATCCCAACAAACAATCTTCTTCATCAAGCTTCATATCAGATTCCAAAAGCTCATTGTACCATCAAATACCTCAGAATATGCTTTAGTGTAGGCATATGTAGTTTTGTAAGAGCCTCCATATATCTGTTGAGCAGTATATTGTTTCAGGTTTAGTTGTTGTGATATACGAAAGACTCCCATTGAGTTGCTTGTATTTAGTAAGGTTGATTGAATTCTATCTCCAACCTTTGACAACTTTGTTCCACAAATCATATGGTTATGAAAAAAGTTGTAATATGCCAGATGAAACCTTTCTAGCATTTCTTTTGTATACTTATTGTGCGATGAAGATGCTAGATGCATTTTGAGTTACTTCAACCCTTAGAAAATATCTCATTCTTCCAAGGTTAGCCATCTCAAATTCTTATTTCATTGATTCCTTAAACTATTTCAACATGAGTGATCAGTTATAGCTGATTTATATTGAACCATCAGCATATAGAATGACTAAAATAATATCAGCTCCAAACTTCTGTATGAACCAATTGTGCTCATACTCACACTTTTCAAACCCATAGTTAAGAAATAAAGACACAATTTTGTTGTATAATGCCCTGAGTGTTGCTTCAAACCATACAATACCTTCTGAAGACTGTGTACCTAGTTTTCCTCCATAAAAACTACAAACCCTTGTGGTTGATCAATGTATACTTCTTTAGTGAGTCACTCATGCAGAAAACACTCTTAACATCTAACTTAAAGACGGAAACCATAATAAGTAGCTACAACTAAGAATGTTTTGATGGTATACCACACAACCATGGGGTAGTTAATTTAGTATAGTGTATATTCTATATCGTTGAGCATATCCCTTTGCAATTAACCTTGATGTCAAGAACAATTTGGGATAATCGACAATGCAAGAAATTAAAGAACATATAGATTTACGTGGTTTATTATCACAATGTGTATTAGTTAGTCCACAAGCAAGAGAGAGCCGGTTTCACTGTACTTGAGGAGATTACAGACTATAAAGGGATATGATAAGTATAAATAGTACTTTTACAAACGGTCTAACCCTAATCCAATATGGTAACAAATAAGGTTACAGACCAGGCCCAAAACAGAAACCTAAACGTGTATAAGTCCATACACTGTGGATCGGGGGAACCTTACTCCCCGAGCCCACTAACTGGATAGCGAGACCCCGTGAATTCCATTCGACAACAAATAATTTAATTCAAGTCATATCAACACTTTTCTACAAAACTATCTTCTCTAAACTTGGTCGTGGAAACCCATTTGATCCCAACCAGAGTCACTCTTGAAGGTTTTTTGGTCAGAACCAAAGTATATATGATTCTTCTCTTTGGCTTCAATCTCTTTGTGTATTGATGCTCTCCATTTTTCTTGCAGTATAGCTTCATTAAATGTATAGGTATAGATGTCCATGTGTGTTGTAAATCTTCTTGGTCTTGGACCTAATTCAAAACCACCAAGAGATCTTGACACATTTGTGGGTGAGTTAATCATCTTCTCCATTTTGACTTTGTTAAATCTTGTCTTGTAGTGGAGACTACAAGACTTGCATGTTATGATGCAGATTTTTTTGAAAATTTAATTATCTGTTGTGTATGCTTCACCAGTGTCTTCCTCCTGCGAATCATACTAGGGTTTTAGCACTTCCTTCCCAAATCAACCTTGTTAATATAGGTTGAGTGTTTTATAACCATGTGCTACCCTTATTCTCATTAAAAACCATATCTTTATTGATTGCTCCTTTCTTTGTATTTGGATTCTAGATTTTGTAAAATTTTGATTCGTTTGAAATATCAAGAAAATGACATTTGTAACTCTTGTCATCTGACTCACCACGGACTACACCGTGAATTAAAATCCCAACTAGAGCTCAAGTATAAACTCTAGACGGGTACAATATAGGGAAAGCATTTTAATTGTCAACCCGGGTCAGTCCATGTACCCTACTTCAATCGCTTAAGTTGTTATCCAGCAAAATGATTTTTGGTTATTTAAAGCTAAAGAAACTACAAATGAAAACAATCAAGAAAAGTAAATTGCGTATAATTCTATATGAGAGGACTTCACCCGGGTATTGCTCCCCCTAGTCTCGTATTAAGAAACCATGAACGAACCTCTAGTGTGAAGGATGTGTTTATAAACCGTGAGGAGGGTGCAACTAGTTAGGAAGACCTAACTCTCTTAGTCGATCGATTAAGGATAGCAACAATAAGCTAGGGGGACATAACTCTCTTAGCCATTCGATTAATAATTGCAACTATAAGCTAGGAAATCTATCCCTTTTAACCAATCAACCAAGGATTGCAAGAATCAATCCCTCGGAAATTAATCTGGACGGCGGATAACGACCAATCATGATGGAATCATGACACTAATCCAATATTTGATGTTTGCCATAATTCGGCCTAAGTAGGTGCCTCAATTGACCAAGGAATTCCAACTTATAAGAGCCTCTTAGCAAGAATGTGATTTCCCTCTACCTCAGTCAAATTGGAAAGGGCTTAATTGCAAGTTTGGTCACCCGAATTGCTTAAAAATTTCACGTTTGCCACTCAAATTGATTTATTCCATTTATAGTCACTCGAATTAGTTGAACAGTCCAAGTTCGGTCACTCTCCGTTAACCTCCGTTAGACTCCGTTAATGACGACCGTTAAGTGATGACGTGGCTAACAGAATGACACAATCAGCACATTTAAACATTAAAAAACGACGACCCGACCCGACCCGACCCGCCAGCTCAGCCTTACCCGCCCTGTCAGCCATTCTTGCCCAACCCGCGAACCAACCCAATTAATTGACCCTAAACCCAAACCCTCAGCACAACATTCTCGATGGCAAGAGGCAGTCCGTCTTCATGAAAGCCTGGGCTCACACTTGCAGGCAGATCGTCGGAGACGGAGGTGTCGATTTCCCACCGCCGCTACCGGAATCGCTGGCTCCGGTCTTCGATCGAACAGGCATCGTCGACTCGCGGGAAATTGCGGTGGAGTATTTGGACGATTGGTTCCGATTCCGGCTCAATCTGCCGGGGATGGATCCCAATACAAACCCTAGAAGCTTGGAGCTGCTATGGAGCTTGGTAGATGGCGATTCCAAGAGACTGCGAGCGACCTTCGATTTCTCGAAAGAGAGAATCAAGAAGCTGAAGGAGTCTCTGATCCCCAAATTCCCCAACCCTAATTACCTATCGAGCTTCGTCCTGACCCTGGCGCACACCCAGGTTTGCCTCGTGAAGGCGACGACGTGGTTCGATTCGCTGCCCATGTTGGTGGAATTGAAGAGACCCAGGTGCTGGCTGGCGACGGCGTGGGTGAAGTCAGTGGTGGGGAGATGACGAAGGCGATGCCGTGGCCGCCCGTCGATGGAGATTCTGGGACCATGGCGAAGACGAAGGTGGTGGAGAAGGAGAGTGAATCGGTGGAGGAATTGGGGTTGAATTTGAAGGTCTGGTGGTGGAAGGCGTGGCCGGTGACGAGCTGGGTGTGGTTGGTGAGCTTGAGCAGGCCGTCGGAGAGAATTTTGGCCTGGCTGTCGATGAGCAGATTGGCTTTGTGGAAGCCATTGTAGGTGAAGCTGGTGGTGGTGATGGGTTCTGGGTTTTGGGAATTGGCAGCGAGGAGGAGCGTGGAGAAGTGGATAAGTTGTGGTGCTAGAAGATGAGGGAGGGAGATGGAGGAAGCAGAGCCATGGCGGAAGAGAGAGAGAGAGGCGGAAGGCAGAAGATAAACAGAAGGCAGAGGAGGCATATTTTTCTGGGTGGGTTAATGGTTTTTTAGGTTGGGTGGGTTGGGTTGGGTTGTGTTTATATGAGGTGTCAGGTTTTTCTGACATGGCGGGTCACTTTCTCTTTTTTCTTGGGTTAAAATTGGGTGACTAGGCATCTCTGTTAGCCACGTCAGCAGTTAACTGACGGCACTAACGGAGGTGAACGGAGAGTGACCGAACTTGGACTGTTCAACTAATTTAAGTGACTACGAATAGAATAAACGAATTCGAGTGACCAAACATGAAATTTTGTACCAATTCGAGTGACCAAACTTGCAATTTAGCCAATTGGAAAATAATGAGTTAAAGCTAGCAACACTTAATCGTTCATGAATACCTCGAATATTATATAAAACATTCAATCAACACACATAGAGTTGTAATTCTTACATCCTAGCACACATCTAGACTAGGGTTCACAATACCCAAGTGAGAGGGAGTACTACTCCATAGCTAATAAAGGGAAAACAACAAAGAAGAGAGAAAGAACCATGGTGGATTCTTGTCTTCCCTCCTTGTTGATGAGAATTCCCTTGAGAAGTGAGAATCTTCACTCCTCTAGCTGGAAGCAAGCCCAATCCTCTTTTTCTTCCTTTGGTTCTACCTTTTTCAATCTTGAAAATAAGAAGAAGATCTCTCTTTCTCTCAATATAATTCTTCGTCCTTTTTAGGGTTATTCCGTTGGAACCCTAGAAGGGAACTCAGAAAATGTGAAACCCAGCCAAGATCTAGCCTCCCTTCTCTCTCCAAACTTCCTTCTATTTATACAGCCCGACAATCACTTACATGGTCTGCACTCACGACCGTGACATTGAAGCTCCAACCGTGATAATATTTAGGTCCGCGAGGCGCGCAAAACCCTCCGATCTTCACGCTCGTCATCTTCACTTTTGGCGCTTTTCGACCTCCAATCGTCCCAAAATTCGTTCTCGACCTTCCCACACGTGCTAGGACCTGGAATATGACAAAAGAAGCACAACCTAGTGTGTGATCATGAGGGGTAAAATGTGTGAAATTAGCCCCGAATCATCATCCAACTACTTTCTTTGATGTTCATGAACATAAACATAAGCCACACTAAAGATTATGAAATTATCTACCAATGGTGGATTTATTGTCTAGAGTTCCTATGGTGTCTTGCCATCATTGGATGAGGTTGAACTTTTATTTAGAACATGAGAAGTCCACTCTACAACTTCAGGCAAAAATAAGCAAGAATTTTGGTATCTTCCACATAACACCTCACCATCTTCATGATTGTTATGTTCTTCCTTTCAACAATATCATTTTGCTAAGGAGCAAGAGTAGTTGTAAATTGTCTTCTGATTTAACTTCCTTGCACAAATGTTTCAATTCATTACGAATAAAATCACCATCCCAATCAGTTCTAAAAATAATGATAAAGTTTCTTGTTAATTTTATAATTGAGCCTTATACTTTTAAATCACGCAAAGGCCTCAAACTTGGCTATCGAAGTCCCAAACATGTACCCATTACTTCCTACTATAATCATTAGTAAGCATCATATATATATTTTTCACCCATTTTGATTTTGGTGTGATAGGTCCATAAAGAACTACTGCACCAGCTGAAGTGGTTGAGTTTCTCTCCACACACCTTTCTTTGGAAAATTGGTTACGTGTTGCTAGCTAATGAAACACGTTCCACATACTCTAAACTCTCTAGTTAGCCTTGGAACTCGTTGAACTAGTTTTTTTTTGCACTTCCTTCAGTACTTTAGAATTAAGATGTCCAAACCTTTTATGCAGAGAGTCATTATATGTTTTTCCTGTCCTTACTTGAAGAACATTTGGATCTTCCTTTTTACTCTTGCCCCTATAGTAAGCATGTAGTATAAACATTCTTTTTTTGTTCATATATGTCTGCAACAGCAGTCCCTTGTAGTCATGCAAGAGTTTGCAGAGAACATTCTTGTTTGTTTGAGAAAGCCAAACCTCTCTCTTACAGCTAACCTACACTCACTATGTTTGTCTCAATCATACACTTATGACACTCAATTTATAGTATTTATCACTCTCATATTTGATACAATTTTCCCTTCTACCAATGCATATATTTTTACTATATTTCATATGGAATTCATAATTATTTGAATAATGTGCTTACGAAAGACCTTGAGTGTGTTTTTAATTTTTATACTTTTTGATGCCTTTATGTTGTTGTTTTGAGCTTTTCATGGGCACCACATATCTTAAGCAAGAAAGCTCCATCTAGAGATTAAATTAATCAGGTTTTGGGACATGGTACATTTTGGTCCTATATTTTTTTTAGAAATTTGTAGATCGAATAAATCATGATAAACTCGTTCCATCTATGCAAGAATTTCCAAAATTCGAGTTAAAAACGGAAGTGGTACCAAGGCGGTAACGAGCGGTTTGAAACTTTTATTTCGAAATATATTGAAAATGAATCTCATTTTGTAGATCAAAACGAACTCGTTCCAGCTAACCAATTTTTTTTTAATTCAAATTAGAACAAAAAAGATAAGAACCGAATAAGAAAACTAGAGAATATAAAAAACCAATATTTCTCACCCCTTAGATCTAGACCTATCCGACCTCACTTAAAACGAAAGACCCATATTTGATTATACAAGGGGTAAACAGATTGAGGCCCTAACGAACCAAACCTCGTTCCAGGAGCAGAAATCCGTCTTCACAGTATGATTTCCGCGTCTGAATCTGCTTTTGCTTCTTTCTCTATGGATTAGTGCCCCCATTCATCTGGGTATGGGGAATTGATTATATTCGATTGAGGTTTGAATGATTGAATGACTTGAATCCTGATCAAATTCCTGTTGTTTCTGCTTTGACCTAGAATGAGAATATCTGCCTAGGTTGATAGAGGAGCCAATTCGCTATTCTGTACCGAATTCCATTCGGTAGTGGAGGTTTGGTTCGTTAGGGCCTCAATCTGTTTACTCCGGTGGAGGTTAGTCGCCCGCTAGATCTAAGGGGAAAACGCGCCGTTTCATCCAGGGGAAAATCCCCGGCCTGACTCAATAATCCCCGACCGGGGATTTTAGCCATTTGCCCGGGCCCCCTTCTGTTTCTCACGGGTGCCCAAATTGATAAATACCCGGTCGGGTATTTTGCCACCTGACCGGGTATTTTCCTCCTGCAGCCCCCTTAGTCCCAACTCGGCTCCTTTCGACCCAGAACTCGTTTCTCCGCCTCGATTCCAACGCCGGGTCCTGAATTATGACATAAACACACAATCTAGCGTGAAATCGGCTTAAAACACGAGAATTAACATCTCAAACGGCTTCAGAATAGGGGTGAAAACATGTGTAATTATCGGTCTATCAGCTACCAAAATTTACATTCTTTTTTACTTCTATTTCACACTATCTGAAATTGACTGTAGAGATTACATTAAGTGTAATTTTAAAAACAAAAAGAATGCCACATCTAATTATTTTTTTTTAAATAAATTTCTATTTATTATAACCAAATCCGAATACTACCCTCTCTCTCCATCTCACTTCTTCTCAATTTCTCTCCGACAACAGTTTCGTCGCCATCCTTACTTCTTTCCCCGTCCCATCCTATCCCCTCCGGCAGGCCGCCTCCCCTCACCCTATCACCGCCCCTCCTGCCGGTCGCCTCCCTCACCCTCCCACCCCCCCCCTCTCTCTGTCACTCAAGGAGATCGACGAAGAACATCTTGATCGGAATTCATATCTCGATTTTTCATATTGGTATGTATTTTTTATATTGGCATTGATTTTTTCGTAGTGGTATTGTTATTTTGTTTACCAATGTTATTATATTGGTAGTGATCTTCATCTATTGCTATTAGTTAAATATGCAATTGTATTGTTTAATAAGTGATATGTCGTGATAATGATAGTGTTTTTATGTTTTGGTATTGATTTCGTGCTTTTTTGTTTGCAGAAAGATTGATAAAAATCAGGAAAGGAAACACACTGAATTGTATGTTTGGTCCATCGGAAGAGGGCGCGAGTCTTAACATTAGTGATGAATGAATAAAAAAATTCAGAATATAAAATACATCGTCGTTCAATGTGAAACACATTGAATTTGTGTACTTTGTAAATTCAACTTTGAATAATTACTTTAGTCAAATTTTTTTTTTAATTTTTTCCTTTAATACCTTTCAAAATAAAATAGAACAAAAATTAGTTAGTTGACGAGAGCTTTTTTTTAATAATTAAGTTAGTTGATGAGAGTTTTGTTTCCAAATAATTTTCGTAGGATAAATGGGGAAGCAAAATGAATGATACGGGTTATTTGAAGAATAGTTAGATTTGGAAAGCTCATTGGGTCACATGTCAATCACAAATGGACCACATTTGAAATGCCTTGTATCAGCAAGAAGGAGAAGGTGGGCTCGTGGTCCCTTTTCAGCCTAAACCCTTAATTGATGAGAAATGGCGTTTATGAATGAGGACCATAAAAAAGACAATGGTTAGGCTAACTTCAATGGAGCCTCTGTAAATGGGGAGCCTCTATATTTGGGGGAAAGTTGGCTCCAATGGAGCCTCTATAAATGGAGGAGTCTCTATATTTGGGGGAGATCTCCAAAAGGATCCCCAAATATGGGGTGGAAATGGGGGTTCCCCCAAATATAGAGATTCCTCAAAGTCCGCCACGTGGCGTTTCTTTTTCTTTTTAAGATTTTAAGGGTTAATTGGGGTTTAATTAGGGGATTAGTTAGGGGTTTAATTAGATCAATAATTTTGAAGTGTTGTGTGTAAACCCAAATTAGGTCAATCATTTTTTGTCAACAAAAATTTGGTCTCAAACTTAAAAAAATTTCTATCGGAAAATTTGTATTTAAAAATGATGACGAACTATACAAAAATTAACATGAAAAAATTATATTAAGGCTTTGATAAGTACATTTTTAAGTAAATGGGAAACTTAAAAAATAGAGATCTCCAAATATAGAGGATGTAGCATTGGAGCAAAATAAGAGAAAATGGGGATGAACCCCA